TTTGTTACTAGTAAAAGTTTTGTCTATTTTGGGATCTTAAAAAACCATTTTGGGATCTTTGAATCTAAGGTCTTGCTGAGCATAAGTATAAAATTTCAAGTTCCAATATTTAATGAAAAAAAGGGATAATTTCATAAAAGTAAATGCTGTAACAGTATTGTGACTATTGTTACTAAATAAATCAACCAATCAACATAAGACAAATTCGAAATAATCACAAATTTTACTAATCTGATTGGTACAAATTTTGAAGATCTATTCGAAAATATCACCAAATTTCCAAAATCCGCCCATATGGTCAAAACAAACATGATTTGTTTTCTAAGTAAAGTTGCATATAAAACTAAAGCCGTGTTATAGTTAGGGTTAGGGTGAGAACAGTGTAGAGTTACGGCTATTTTATTAGTAAAATTTCACGAGGAACATTTTTAATTAGGCCGCAGAAGGTGGTTTCCTAATTAAAATTTGTAAAAAAGTGGGTTCGCTTCGATTTTTATGTTACACCTAATCATGGAATTCGATTGGCCAATATTACAGGGGTGAAGAATTTTTTGTGGGACAACTAACCGACCCGATTTCAACCGGGTGGCGATTTTTTAGACGGGTCAAATCACTATTTTACTTAGTATATTTTTGAGATATAGCATCCATTTAACCAGGGGACAAGTTAGCAAATATTCTAAAGATATTTAATGTTATATTTCAAAGAAGTTATATAATTTTTTGTATAGATTTACATTCAGTGTATTAATTTATTTGATTATAAGACTATTATAAGTAATAGCAACTATTAGAACATGTTTTATAACTATATATTAAAGTTTAATTAAATTTTTAAAAATAAGTAATACTAACTTACAGTAACGATATATTTTTTAAGACAATCTACTTTAAAAACATCTTTAATATACTTATTATTGCGTAATAACACACTAGTGCGTTATTTCGAGCAACTAAGGCTGATCGCATAGGATAATTTACATTGATTCAAAAAAAAAAGTATATTATTTTGAGACAATGAGTGATATGATTTTGCAATATATTAGAACTATAAATATTAGCTAAAATTTCTTAAAAATTATAACAAAATAAATATTAACTCGCCTTTTTTGCATCAAGTTTTACAGAATATTTTACATGTATCTTATAATAAATCTCAAATTTATTATTATACATATAAATAAGAAATCAAATTGGTTATGTTAAATGTTTAAATAAGACTACTTGATAGATATAAGTTTTGTTAATTTTTAATGTATTAACTCTAAGAACTTTATTAATCTCGTTTAACATAATCCAATACATTCATATAACAGTCACAAAAGTGTATTGTTTGTTATAATTAATACATACACATCCTCTATCCGCAAACTACTACTACAAACATACTATAGCAGACCGAATTTCCTCATTACATAAATCTAACAACATATACAAACACTGTAAACTACCGTTGATTCATAATTCATTGCCAATAGTTACCCAATAATCGCGTAGGTTATTTTTCCTACCAAATATTTCCAAATAGTTTCCTAATAACAAAAGGAAATAAGCACGTGTCAACTACACTATTCAAAATTAACCATAAGCAAGCACGCATACCATTTGGAACTAATTCTTCGATCATTTCATATAGTTCTTCTGGCTTTTGACTTTGCCCACGTCTTTCGGAAAATATTACATCGGAAGAAATTGAATGTTTACATCCTGGCGGATCCTTTCCCTGTTTAAAATAAAAATGAATTGATTAAACTCAAATCAGTTAACATGATAAAGAAAAAATTTCTTGATAATAGGTAATACTATACTTTTCTTCCCATCAAGCAAGTTTCTTTTGCATGTTGTAAATAGAAACCATGCCCTTTAGCCATTCTTCTATTTACGGTTTGCTTCACCCATGTAATATCATCACAATATCTATTTATAGCATAATTAATATATATATATATATATTAGTGTCATAAAGCAATATGAATCGCGCGTTAAAGCATCTGTCAAAACTAAGTGTTTCATCAATGAAGTCTTTATCGCATATGTATCTATTTCACTATCAGACCAAAATTTCCAAAAATTGTACATACGTATACCCCCATTTTCTCAATAGGTCAAAAGCCTTGGAATATTTGTTATTAATTACCCATATAAATAAAAATCCATTTTTTTGTAATTTCGGTATGGGCAATTCTTCAATACAAATATCTGGTAATTGTTGATAAGCGATTGCGACCTATAGTACACAATACAACGTGATATACGTGACATGAATTAGAAAAAAAAATTATATAGAAATAATCAATGAAAATTCAATTTTATCAAGTAACAAAGAAGAGATTTGAACAATTTACACCACGAGTTGGAGCATGAGTTGCTAATTGCCATGGAGGGTCCATCAGAATCACATCAAATTGACATTCTTTCGCGAATACCTTTAGTATTAATAAATAGAATTTGGAGTTAATTATTAAAGCTAGAAATACTATACAAAACATAATCTAAATTCAATAATTTAATGAACTACTAGTATAATAATTGACTAGGAACAATTGTATAATACATACATCCCACTCAAATGTCAACACATCTGCTTTAATAGGCACACACCACTCTGGTGCTTCAAACTCTTCCCAGCAAATGTCTATAGGAATAAACGCGAAAAAAACGCGTAAATTATTAATCAGAGTTAGCTTTCAAATAGTTATATGGTTACTATACAAATTTTCTTTTTTCATTTTTTAACGCAATAAAGATCAAATGTATAGATTAAGCTACGAAAATACCATCGTAATTTTCAGCATTATTACCACATTCGACACTTTTTCCGCGCTCTCTCTTTTTACCATTCCCACTGAGCGTTGTACTGCTGTCTTGACTGGTAATTTTAGCTTGTAGTTGAGCGATTTCTTCCGTTAATTCATTGATTTGTAACTGTAGTTCTGTTTCTCTATCTAACAGATATTTTAACTGTGCATCTATTGCTGAATCAGAAAAGACTTTATTACTACGACTACTGCTACTTGCAGCAGCACTACTTCGAGTGTTATACCGGTAAGTACTAAGTTTTGAAGTAGTTGCAGCACTGGGAGTTGGTGAAGACGATGAATCCAAAAGGTCAATTTCTTGCTTGGCCTCATCAGGTTCAGACATTTTAGTAAGGTACTTTCCGTGTTAAATGAAAAGTACAGGATCATTTTGAAATTTTTTTTATTCATGAAAAGTCTAGGCTATCCCTATAGGCTAACTTTCTCGTGATTGGTGACACAAAATTGGAATGAGAGAAATTCGTTTTTATTGGTTGATTGTCAGTAATTCTGATTGGCTAAATATTAATTATTTTGTCATCGGTTCTACCACGAAATAGAACATAAATCGGCCAGCGTTAAAATTAATGCCGACTAACTTTGTCGGTATAATGTAGAGTGAAAATTGAATAAATTACTTTATCGTTATACATTTACACAAAGCTATGTAAAATTACAACTTTAGTATCATGTTCTTTTGGGAATCTGTCTTCATGGTAGGATCCTATGGTTAATAATAAATGATTTGATTGGCTAAAAAATAGATCGTGTTTAATAATTTTGATCAAAAAATCTGGACCTAATCTAACAACCATCTTTTTTTTCATAAAGTTATTCTAATTAGGAAAGTAAATTTCGATATTAAATTAACACGTGATACTATATTTAAAATTTCCACACTATATAGTTAATATTTTCAAGCAATTTATTTAATATAGCAATAAGTAGTGATGGGACCTCTGGGTTTTTAGTTAATAATGAAAAAATTAATAATGCGTTATTAATATTATTAATAGTTAATAACTTCGATCACCGCTAATTATGTCAATATGATGAATTAAATTAACTACCTACGGATTTAATAAAAGTTTAGTTCGCCAATATCTCAGCAATTTTTGAGAAAAATATTGACGCAACTTTTTGTTTTTTATACATCCTGTATTAATTAGCTGCGCCATATATTATTAAGTCGTTATTAGTTAATAATTCAATCAATCAATTAATAATCATTATTAATTATTAATAATTCAAGAGGTTCCATCACTAGCAATAAGTAATAAATTTTCTAATTTTAATTCTTGATCAAATTAGTCAGATAGTTTAATTTATTTATTTTTTTTAAACCAAGTGGTCATGCTATATTTTATTAGAAAGATAATAGTTATATATGCAAATACTAATACTGTATCTGATACCTAGTATCTGTAAATAAAAATATAACTCATCCAGTTACTATAGACATCTATATGTGATCTGTAAAAGTAGAATTTGTTTCAATACTTGATTGTTTTTTATAGTCAACTCTCAAGAATATTATTAACATGGTTCTACTAGCCCATCATAACTACCTCTTTTTTCTATCTAGATCTTGGCAAAAAGACTATTACATAATTCATCTACAATGAAAAAAGAAAAGAAATATAATAAAAAAAAGTGTAAAAATAAAAAGGTGATAAAAAAAAAAGAATAATCACACTAATGAAAAATAAAATATAAAAGAAAAAGATAAAAAAAATAAAAAAAAGAAGTTATAATTATAACATACATATAATAAAAAAAGAATACATTATTATGACCTATACAAGGCTAAAAAATTATATATTAATTACAACATTTAATATATTTCTATTGTAAAGCTATACCTTAATGTTTAGTTTATTTTTCTGACTATTAAACCAATTTTGGATAGCTCATTTGTATAGAGATCTAATCTGTTATGTGGAAACCTGTTCTGTCATGTGGCATAGCAGCATGTTTACTAAAAAATATAGTTGTAATCTACTGTATTATTGTTTAAAAAAGAAAAAAGTAAACACTGCTAATCTTTTAATAAGGATAAGCTGTTTTTTTACACTTTTTTCAAAAGTTTTGGTGAAAGCATAAGTGGGTGATAGTAAGAAGAATAGAAGAGTAATAAACTCTAAGCTTGTTAGCAGGTAATATATGAGAACTACAGGTGCCGGCTTATAGTTCTGCTCAGTCTTATGTTTTTTTGCTGTTCAACCATAGTTTATTATTATTTTATTTAAAAAGTTTAGTTGTAAATTTTGGTACAAGGAATCATTAGAAAAAGTTGTGATTATTTTGTTTAATTAGTGGAAATAACATAATTATGTTATTTCCACTTAGTCTAGGTTATTCCCACTCGGGTATGACGACAGAAATGCGTCATCATCGTCAGTGTTGTGACAACAGAAATGCGTCACCGTTGTTAGAGATATATTAGTATTCGCTCCATCATTCGAGTGACGAATGATTCACGCTTGCGTCGTCATTCGAGTGACGATTGGTTCACGAGTTCGTCGTCACACTT